CTTAGGTTCTTCTGAACACTGAGGGGCAGGTGGGACTGGATGACTTCAAGGACCTCTTGCATCTCTACGGTTTTCTGAGAGTTCCCTTGCTTGCCTCTAACTGCAGCACAAACTGCCCCGACAACCTCTTTTCCATGGTCTTCATGACTTTCCCTTCATGTGGCCCTCCAGCAGCAGTGTCCCTACGATGTGATCAAAAAAGTCAAGATCCTGGTTGCAGTGGCCTGACTGAAGTTTTGCTGACACAGGTTATGCCGTGGATACAATCTGAAGGGTTTCATTAGCCATTCAGTTGGTGGCACAGCCAGGTGACCCTGGTGGTGAGATTAGCATGGTACCTCTTGCCCACTTTAGGCTGGTGTAGGCATCTCCTCTCCCTCTGGGCATCGCCTTCTGGATCTCAGACCTCTGCATCAGGCTGAGCAGTGGTGGACCAGGGGAATATATGTTGAAGTGGCATAAAAGAGAGCAAGAACAACTTTCCCTTCATGTGTCAGCTACTGTTTGACTTGCTTTTGAATATGGGTTTAGCACTCTTCTAGGATAGCCCTCAAGCTGCGTCCAAACGAAGCAATCAGCTGATATCCAAATAGCACGTTCTGCAAGAGCGTTCCTCTCAAACAGGGCTCTTTTGGAAGAGCTCTAAGTCCATCTCCAACAGCAGCCTGACTTGCAGCTCATATCATCTGATTGTTGGGCTCCCGTTGAATGCAACGTGCAAAATGCTTCCAACAAGTGAGGCTTTATCCTTCTTTTTCTTCGGGGTCATCTTTTGTCCTTGATACTCATTTGGATTCAGCTATTTATTACCATGTTGTCACTTGGGGGTGGGGTCTGATTTTGTAAGCCACCCTGAGTCTTTTGGCATTGTGGTAGGCGATTTGATTTGATCTGATTATGTGCCCTCAAGTTGATGTTGACTCTTAGCAATGATATAGATGGACCTTCTCTAGGACAGTCTGTCCCCAACCTGAACCTTCAGGTCTTCCAACGCTGCACTCATCACTGGTGCACTGAGTCCATCCCCCTTGCTGCTGGCCATCCTCTTCTCTTTCCTTCCACCTTTCCCAGCCTCAGAGCCTTCTGTGGAGAGCTGGGTCTTCGCATAATGTACCTGAACTAGGATAATTTGATCAGTTATAAGAGACTGTTAAATCAATTGATCAGAGTGAATTTTGACAGATGGCTAAACCCACAGGTCTCATTCTCTTTCAAAGCTTGCCTCCTCCCCAGCTCCATCCCACATTAAGAGAAGTAGTTGGTGTTCCCCCCCCCAAACAGTGACAATTGGTGGGAGGGGTGGAAAGCAAACTCAGGGGTATCCCCCAAGGCCCTGTCCTCAACATGCCTGGTGCACCATGATTAAAGGCCATTTGATATCACTGCACCCATGAAAGGGCAGGGATCCTCAGCAGAGGCAGCAGATGCCACGCCAGCATAGTCGTCTGCGGGCAGAGGGGTGTGTGTGTGGAGTGCACTTTGGAACCAGAATACGTCATTTCTGTGAATCTCTTCTCCAAAGCACAAACACGGTCTGTATGTTCTCCCTGTTTTTCAGGCACAAGAGTGATGTGAAGATGTCTGCCCTTGTGGTTCCCACAATGCACACGCTACAAATTGGTAAGGAAAAATGCAATGTCCCAGCTGTGGTCCTGGGTGGTGGAAGTTGTGAGAGCCTCTCCGAGAGGGTTGGGGGGCTCCTGGGAAGGGGTTGGGGATGCTGCTCAGGCCACCCAGATTGCCACAGGAAAGTGCAGAAGAGCCCAAATCCTGCAACTCTTGCTCTCCAGCTGTGCTCCATGAAAGCTCTGCACGTTCCAGATGATTGCCAACATCTAACTTCTAAGACGGTTGGGCTCCAAAGGTCATTTCCCCCCCCAGCATCTCACTTTCATGGAGTGCTCTTCACACCAGTGGCCTCTCCTTGGATTTCTGCACGTGTCTCAGACGCCTCTTCTGCCAATGGCTGCTGGTTGGCTGGCCAAAGTCAATGAAGACAAGGGCCCTTGTTCTCCGCTTTCTTTCCACACCTTCTCCTTCAGTCTCTTGCGGATGCCTCCTTCTCCTTCTCCTTCTCCTTCTCCTTCTCCTTCTCCTTCTCCTTCTCCTTCTCCTTCTCCTTCTCCTTCTCCTTCTCCTTCTCTCCCTTTTCTGCAGGGGTGTCTGCAGGATATAGTCAAAAAAAGCCAAGGTAGTAGCCTTGACGATGCAACTGAAGCTCCGCCTGGTTTTTCTGCGCAGCGCACATCAAAAAGGGGAGGGCGTCAACCGGTGGTTCCGGCTGCTATTTTAACTTTTGTCACCCCTGCCCCCTGCAGACTCCTCTGGGTTCCAGGAAATAGTTTTTCCCCCTTTAACAAAGAGGTTCTGCAGCCTGGAAAAAGTTTTGAAACTCTTAACCCACCATGTTGGGAGTCAGTTATTGTCTCAGCTGCGGCAAAAACTGTCTTTATACGTTTGAGCGTGGCCTGGAATTTGGAGACAGCCATTGTGTTTTCACAGCAAACATACCTCTATTTATATTTTCATACCCGCCACACTCATTCCTTCTGAGGTGAGCAATTTACACAAAGTGCTGAAAAAGAGTACAAAATCATCTTCAACCTTAAGGATGAAGGCATGAGATTAAAAAGGAAAGGAAAGGAAATACAGTTCCCACTCTTTAGAATACTTTTTCCTGTCTGTGTGTCTTTGCGAGCCCTCTGGGATGTCCTCTGGGGGGACAGGGGAGTCAAAAGTCAAGATGGCAAGGGTGACCGCATGTTCTCAGCCCCACCCTTTTTCTGTCTAGGTTGCTTTCATGGATGCTTCTTTGTGACCTTCTCTCTTGTTCCACCACACATACTTCTTAAGTACACCACTCCCACCATCGTCAACTTCCTTGTATGTTTCTCCTGACATTCCTACAGCTCTCTTCCCTGGAGGAAAATGGCAGAGAACTATGCTCTTCTAGACAGCCGTGTTTCCTTCTTGCAACAGACCACATTCTGCCCACTTTTCCTTCTACCACCATTTCCATGGCTTACGTTTTCTCCCACTCTGTTGCAAATAACTTACTGGCATTGTGCGTGCATATATGTCCGGTCTCTCTGGCATTGCAGGGGAAGAGAGATAGGTTCTCCATAATTGGTCTTCTCAGTATGGGTGTGATGTAGTGATGAAAGTGTTGAGCACCAACAGAAGGGATCAAGGGTCAACTTCCCACTTGATCATGGCACCCCCTGGGTCTCTTCGGGCCAGCGGTTATCTCTCACCACTGTCCTCACAGGCACCGCCTTTAACTCCCAAGAGAAACATGTTCTCCAAATGTATATAATGTAGACCGTGCTTCCTGTGGGAGATGTATATAAATGTATATAAAGAAATATTATCTGCCTGTCCGTCCATCCATCCATCCATTCATCCAGTCTCATAGACAAGGAAAAAGCTAGCAACTCTTCCCAATACTGTATGCTCAGGTTGCCCCCCTCTTTTTTTATCAGTGCCCACATCGAACTGGATGCTTATATTCGCACCCCACTTCTGTGCAGAGGATCATGGGAAGCTAAACTTTCTAACTTATTGTGGATCCTG